GGTGCTGATTGAAGATAGGTTCTAGAGAACAAGACACTCTTAAGATAATAAAATTTGTTTAAAAAGAGGGAGTAGGCTGGGCACAGTGGCTCACGCCTGTAATCCCAGCACTTTGGGAGGCCAAGACGGGCGGATCACGGGGTCAGGAGATCGAGACCATACTGGTTAACACCATGAAACCCCATCTCTACTAAAAATACAAAAAAATTAGCCAGGCGTGGTGGCGGGTGCCTGTAGTCCCAGCTACTTGGGAGCCTAAGGCAGGAGAATGAAGTGAACCTGGGAGGCGGAGCTTACAGTGAGCCGAGATTGTGCCACTGCACTCCAGCCTGGGCGACAGTGCGAGACTCCGTCTCAAAATAAATAAATAAAATGAAATTAAATAAATAAATAATAAATAAATAAATAAATAAATAAATAAATAAATGGTGAAAATAACAGGAGATCAGACAGAGAAGTTATCTTAAGAATATAAGTCCCTGAGAAATTCCAAGAAAATTTGTGGAAGGTATTGGAAAACTTGTTAAAATGTGAAATGGGTGGAGGAGAGAATGGAGGTTAAATGAGCTACATTTGTTTACCCTGAAGGAAAATATTTGTAAAGGTGTTCCTATGGGACCAGATAATTGTTCCAATAATTTTTACTGTTCTACCATTAAATAAAAATGATGAAAAATGCTGATGGTATAATCAGCAGAGACCAATGGAGGTGGTTTTTTCATCTTGCTACTGTATCAGTGAAGTGAGTTGATAGCTGAACCCTGAACCTAACATGCCATTTTAAATTTCTACAAGCAATTAAACTTGTGGATATGGGGAATGAATCAGAATGCATTCTTCATCCTTCCCATCAACATGGGGTATGACTTCACTGGAATAAATTAACTCATTATACTCATTCTTTTATAATAGGGAAATTAGAGTAGCATTTACAAATTATTATGGCTAAGAAGTAGACAGCAAATTTGTTTGAAATCATGGAAGTTAGTGCTTAGTATTTGGACTATTAATACTGGAGTTATCAAATGTTACAAAGTAACATATGGAAAATAAATAATATGTTAGACATTGTGGCAATTTATAGTTTAATTGGACTTTACTTATGTCAGACATTTTCCCCTTTATCATAAAAACCCTTAGTGCCAAGTATATAGTTTGCCTTCAACTTCTCTTGAGTCTCCTGAAGGTGGACTTACAATCATGTCATAGGTCAAATTAAAACTGAATATACACAGTCTTACTTTTTCTTCAGCCTTAAAATCGATCCTAGCAGCTATCACATTACTACATGATTGAAAAACCTTAAGTGTCTGAGTTACGATTTAGTGAATTTAGTCATTGAATTTGAACTTGCTGCTTCAGAAGAGTAGATCTTCCAGAACCCTCTCTACCTCTCACCTCACAAGGCAGAAGAAGGCATGTATGCTGAGAATTGGATGCTTTTGAAAAGGAGGAAATGCCATATATGTTCAGCTGTTTTTTTTCCATCTCGCCAACCCTATAAATAAGTAGCTCCCTTTGAGAGGAACGAGTACAGGTATAAAGGGAATGGCCAAGGCAGTAGCTCTAGGTTGGTTCTCCATACATCTGAAGATGCAGACATTCTTCTGTTATGGGAAACTAGTAGAGCCAGAGAAAATGGTTCCTCAGCAACCTCATCAAATGTATTCTTTTTTAGTTTACAATAAGGATTCCCTGTTCCTCTATGGCAGTCTTTTATTCCAACTTTCATACCTTCTCATTGCTTCATACTTTGTCTTTAGTCAATCCAAACCATTCCATGCTTTATGGCACACTTCACCTTCAAGTGTCACCTCTCCCTTGTAGTCATTCATGCTTGTTCCAGCCATGGCTCATCTGTTTCCAAAAAATGTGATTTTTTTCTAGTATGATATCAAATTGTTTTATTACATTTAAGTTTTCCTCTGCAGCTACACTGTAGGCATGATTAGAGTGAGGTTTGCAAAGATTACCTCCTTCCTCATCTCTGGCAGTGAATAGCACAGTACAGACTAGATATTAGGCACCTGATATACATTGGTCAATTACTATTTGAGATCTTCAGAAAGCAAGTTCAGCATAGTATTTAAAGGCTAAGTCTTATTTAAGTCTTATTTCTTAAGTCGTACCTTGGATTAAAAACACATTTAAGGGGAAAAATTTCAAACCTACTAAATTAACACAGTATTTTTTCCTAACCCAAAACAGCACTCATACAAATGATTGAATACTGGTTTATTGTTGAATAGCATACATAAAGGTTTAACTCTAGGTCTCTCTCATTTTTTTTTTTTTTTTTTTTTTTTTTTACAGAGTATAAATTTTCCTATGAATCACTTTTGACCATTAGCATTTATAAACCACCATCATATCACTGCTTTTTTCAAATACAAGTTCATCATGGTGATAACTTGAACATCTTTTAGTCTTAATTTATAATTTTGTGGAAGACACTATTAATTAGTCCACTTTTCCTATTTTGCTCCTATCAAGTGAACATCACTGGACATTATTTAAATTAACTGGAATAATTTGGCCAGATGTTGATGCATAATAGTTTTTGTGAGCCAGGAACTACCTGCAACATTATCCCCTAAGTTCAAAACTTTTCTGATCTCTTCTGAGTTTTGGAAAATTCCATTGCCTTTAATTGCATTGCTTGTCATGGAAGAAACAAAAATCTACGTACACAATAACTTTTTACATTGATGCTAAAATATAGTGTCATCTTTATGAAGGCATATTAAGAGATAATAATCCAAATACAAATTAAGCTTCAACTTTGTGAAGTGTTACCTTTGTGAATAAATTAACTGCAGTGACATGCCACTAGACTGGAATATAGTAAGTAGATAATTCTCACTTACATATATGTCCATCTCTTTGACAAACTCATACTTGAATATAAGTTTCTGAAGGACGGGGACTTCTTTACCATTTTATCCCACAGTGCCTAGTAACAATGGCTAACATCTATGGTTATAGAGGTTGTATACTACAAAATGGGTGAAGACAAAGTATTAAAAGGGATAAAATGTAGTCTGTGTCTACTCTAAAGTCAAGCTCTAAAGAGGCTGTGTCTACCCAAATGAGATACTTCTAATAATCTACCAAAATATGTTGAGGAGAATTACATATGATTGTGCAACAGTAGTAACTGGCATATAATAGGAGCTCAGGCAACACTTATGATTGATAAATGAAGAAATTGCTTATATGAATGGCTAAGTTCACCCATGTGCAACAAATAGCACCTACATATGAAGAACCCCATGCATGATAGCTGTCATGTTCATTTGGCATTAAGTACCTTAATTTCAGGCATATTTATATTGAAAAAAAATGCAACATAAAACAGTATCTTAGAATTGAAAAACAGTGATTCTGTCTTGCATAAAAATTTTTGTATTGTTTCCTCATTTATTTCCCCTGTTTATCTGATGCCAAAGGCAAAACCAAAACAAAAAGCATGAGAAGTGATTTTGAGTGCACCAGGACCTGATGGTGTGGCAGAAAGACAGCCACGGGACTACTTTGGTATATTATAAAGACAGAAAAGACATGTTGAGAGCGACTCTGTGAGACTAGCCTATACCTAGTTTCTTAATCTCATACTGTAATTTTTTTTTTAAGAAATTAGATATGGGCTCGCCTTACAGAGTTGCTCCTTGTGTGTTTATTAACTGATTATTTGTAGCTGGGCTTCCTCCACTTTCCTGTTATTGCTGTTTCTCAATGATTTTGTTTTGCTTTGGCTTTCTGTGATCAAGACATCAGCTCCACTCGCAAATAGCTTTTCAACTTGAGTGCCAATCACAGTCTCTTCTGTTAACCTTATTGAGAAAGGAGAAAGGGTCTATTGGGCTCTGGCTCAGCTCTCTGTGAATGTCCAACAGCTGACTAACTAGACAGGCGGGGAAGGAATCAGGCACAGACACAGTGGAATGCAGAGTGGCCACGTTGTCTGTCAGCCATGCTATGTACCAGGAAATGGGTTTTATGCAGAGCAGGTAGTAAACATTTGTACTAAGATCACTTTTTCCATCAATACTCTATATATTTTTTCATGTTAAATGTGTTTGTTTTCATGTTGTATAAATCACCTCTTAGGAAATAGTGGTATTCTCTTAGGAGATTTTAGTATAGGGCATGTGGATAGAATTAAGGTCTGTGAACTTGGGTTGGAGGAAAACTACATCTTTATTTTTATTCACCTAAAACCAAAAGTAATCGTTTTTTCAATTAAAGATGTGAGCAACAAACTCCAGCAATAGAAATATCCATGACTTTGTCACTAATAGAAATGACAGACACTTTTATAACATGTTCCAGACATTGTATATACTTAAAAATACCAGTTATGTTCATCATCACTACATTGAAATTATCCTAAAGACCTGATGCTAGATCTTGTTAATTAACATATTAGGAAATAAAACATGTATTACTACATCACAAATATTTTAAAAATGTTTTGCATATTGTATTTCAGTATAATTGTTTGCATTTAAAATCCTGTGCATTTTGTTTTATGCTTTTAAAAGCATTATTTTGAAAAAGGGTTTTTAAGCTTCAACAGATGCCAAAGAGATCCATGGCACTAAAAGCCTAAAAAATCCCTGCTGCAGAAATACAGTAGCATCATACTGCAGAATTTTCTAAAGGCAGTTTCTTATTTATGGATGGGTTTTCAAATGTCTGCCTTTAGCCACTACATGAACAAATTAAGTAAATATAAGTATACTTAGTTGAACAATATGTTTATTAAATATGTATGATGAAAAATAAGACATGAATTATGCTTAGGTACATATATATGTTCATAGTTACCCAATAATGAAGCTGCAATATATATGGTATGGTTTTCATGATTCATTAATACATAGTTATAGGTTTAAAACCTTGCAAAATCATAGTAACCGTAGAGAAAGCCATTTCATAAGCATTAAATCTTAAAACTGCAATATATTACTTGAAGGTCAATGCTATCCTTTTCACAGGCTACTCAAAAAGAGATTGAGAAACAGAAGGTGCACCTGAAGAGTATCACAGAGGTAGGAGAGGCCTTGAAAACAGTTTTGGGCAAGAAGGAGACATTGGTGGAAGATAAACTCAGTCTTCTGAATAGTAACTGGATAGCTGTCACCTCAAGAGCAGAAGAGTGGTTAAATCTTTTGTTGGTAAGAGAAAAGGCTAGAAGCTTTTACACCCTTCTCTGTCACGAGAAAAAGATATATAAGTGACCAGTAATAATTTTGTGTTTGAAAATTTCTCAAGTCCACGTATATGCTGGCTCTTAATTCAATATCTATAACAAATATTTTAATATATTTTTATTTATATTCCAGCAATATTCTATATAAAAATACCACTTAAAACTAATCTGAATGAAACTGTATTGTTGTCTTTTAAAAATTTTAGAACATAGGAAAAATTCTTTAAGAATATTGTCTAACCTATAATGCCATGGTATATCTCTGTACAATTAAGGAATACCAGAAACACATGGAAACTTTTGACCAGAATGTGGACCACATCACAAAGTGGATCATTCAGGCTGACACACTTTTGGATGAATCAGAGAAAAAGAAATCCCAGCAAAAAGAAGACGTGCTTAAGGTAGCAAATAAAATATGAAAAGTAACGTTCAAATTGTACAATTACTTCAATCATGTTTGTCCTAAAAGATACTAAGGACGTCTTAATAAGAGTAAAACAATCCTTTCTTCCTTCTTTTATCTTTCCGTTTTTCCTTTCTTCCCCCTTTGAATGGAAATTAATGATTTTGAAGAGTTTTGTAATCTGGATATCTGTTCATATCCATCACTCAGTTAATTATACCCAATGTGAACTCTGTTCAGAAAGAGATTCCAAGATTTATTTTGAAATCATATTGCAAATTTCTGCCTATGTCAATGGTGGTACTACATTCTTGTGTCTAACACAAAGAACAATCTGACACCATCATTCATTCAGCCCATCTGAATCAACACCTGAAATCCAATCAGCTGTTTTGTTTGTTTGTTTGTTTGTTTTTGCCTGAGCCATATCCAAATCTTGGTAATTAGTCTTAATGTTGGGCTTATGTAAAACTGAGGTTTTCATTTTTAACTACATGTAAACAAGGCTTTGGGTTCTTTGTTTTAGTATCAAAACTGATTGTTAGGAAGCCCTGTCTTCTTTTTCAAGGGCAACTTAATCATCTTTTGTTTAAAAAATGATTCTGATATAAGGGTAGGAGAGGTATAATATGTATATATACCTTATTGATACTACATTGTTTCTATTTGATGATGTCTCCTTTCTCAGTTAAATAGGTAGAGTTGAATTTTAACAGCTCTCTTTTAAATACATTTTTGTATTTTGTTTTGCTGAAATGTTTGATAAATTTATTGATTAGTTGTTTACTGTTTAAAGAAAACTCAAAAAATATGTTTCTTTCTATGCAGTTCATTTTTATGCCTCTGATATTTTCATATTTTCCACAGATTACAATATATTTTAATGAAAAACTATAAATGCATTCCAGGTTATCCCCAAAACACATTTATGCTATTGTGTGAAGCTTATTTTGATGTGGATCTGTATTGTGCTCTTCATTGTCCCTTGATATATAGTCAGAGATGTCATCTTATGGTGAAATTCCTTCAAAGCTTTTTGAATAATAGGGTCTGAGTTATTTAACTTACAATGTCTGTGACCCGGCAGGTCAGGAAGAACATTCCTCAGTACCTCTGTATGTGACACAAAATTTGTATGTGTTAGAAAATCACTTTTTTTCTTATGACACTCAATGTAATAAACAAAGAGGAACCTGAAAGTACCAGGAAGGAATAGAAAAGTGTTCTTCAGCTACCTGCCCTCCTGAGCACATACTTAGTTTATTCCACAACTATTAAATTCAGTAACGATATAATAAAATAAGACTAAATAGAATACATTATGATAGTTGCAAAACATAAGAAAACATCCCTGTCCTTCCTCAGACTAAATAAACATTTTAAATAGACATGCATCAAACTTAAGGACAGTGATCTATTTTTCTGAAATCACATGTATTTTCATTTTACTCCTGTTTTATGGCAATCGTGGTTTTATCTCCCTTTCTATTTTCTGCATGTGCTTGCTCTCATTTTCTTACTTTCTCTCTCTCTCTTTCTCACTCTCTCTGGCTCACTCGCTCTGTTTCGCTCTCTATTTCTATCTTGACTTTCATTAATTACTAACTTCAAGTCCTATCTCTTGCTCACGGAATATAGCGTTTAAAGGCAGAACTGAATGACATACGCCCAAAGGTGGACTCTACACGTGACCAAGCAGCAAACTTGATGGCAAACCGCGGTGACCACTGCAGGAAATTAGTAGAGCCCCAAATCTCAGAGCTCAACCATCGATTTGCAGCCATTTCCCACAGAATTAAGACTGGAAAGGTAGGAAGATCTACTCCAAGGTGGAAACTAGTGCTAAATGATCTCTTGCGAAGGTTGTGCAGTACTCTCAAAGGGGCGAGTAGACCCCATAGCAAGGTTTTCAAAAGGAAAGTGAAGGCCAAAATGTATTTAAGGAAATTTTACCACTGACTATAATGGGAGATAAAACCGTCTCTCTCTCTCTCTCTCTCTCTCTCTCTCTCTCTCTCTCTCTCTCTCTGTCTCTCTGTCTCTCTGTCTGTCTCTCTCTCTTTCATGTTTTTCTGCCACAGAGATTCTAGAACTGCATTCTACACTGCAGTTTACATACGTACTTTCAGGGTCACCTACAGAAAAAAGCAACAAATAGCATGCTGAAGGCCAAAACAATAAATAAATAAAACCAAAAGCACACAAGTCATCCATCAAAAGAAAGCCCTACTGATAAATTTTTCCAAAAGCACTACTGATACAATATTGCTTGCATGTCATGTGGATCAAACATCCAAAATGAGGCCTTGTATATCTTCTGCATGATCTAGGGTGTTTGTACCTCTTTACTGATTGCGCAAGTGTGTATATTTAACTTGCCTTTGCTAGTTGCAGACACTGTGACAAAATTCATAAGGCTATAATGAAATGATCAAGCCATGAAAACAAATCACTGCAAAGCTTATATATCCTAATTTTTGTAATTTTATATGCCTATTTATATACTGTTTAAGAAGAACCAGGGGATATGGAACTTTTGCATGATAGACTTTATATTTGTATGATTTGATGAAGACAAAGTCTTATTTAGTAAGTAGTTTGCCAAAATGTATAAATATAGTGTTAAAGAATTTCAACTCTGGGAAGATTTGAAATGCAAGTAATTACCTAGAAATTTATGTACTGTAGTTTGATATATTTTTAATATATGTGATATGCTTTCAAATATAAAAAGTTATACAATCAATATATGTATTTAGGTGTATAGATAATTGTTAGAAATAATCTGAGATGAGAAAACATTGGAGTATTTATGAGAAAATATGATGTAATATGTCAGGTAAGTGTTGACTCCTGGAAAAATAGAAGAACATGTTCAAAAAATATTTTGATAGATATAAGCAACCAGTAATAGCATGGTTTCACAATTGCTACACTTTCTAAAGCATTACAGTGTATCATCATGTTATATGATAGTACATATTTAAAGCAGTTTTCAAAATAAATGAAATGTGATATGGTAAATTCTAAGTAGTTTAATTTATGTGCATGAGACACAGTTACCCTTCAAAATTCACCTTCCCAAACTAAAAAGTTGTTAGTTTACCTTAATTCATTGCAAATTATTTTTAATAGTTAACTACTTAGTTCTCTTGCACTCTCTCTCTCTCTCCATACACAGAGACCTTATATAGTTGACTTTTAAAAGGCTATATTCTCTGCATATGGAGATAGACAGCACGAGAGAACTAAGTAGTTAACTGTCACAAATATATATATTTCAGTCAGTCATTATCACTTGCAAAAAAATGTGACAGGCTCTTAAAATTTATCAGAGTATAGTTTTGAAAGAATTTACTGTTACAAAGACAATTGTTTTTTATTTCTGAAGATATCAGTGGCTTATGTAATAACTAAATGATCAATTGAGCTTTATTTCAATCATTAAAAAATGATACTACTTCATTACTAAGATGTAGACACACACATGCACATTTTAATAAATCACTAAGCTATAGAATATTTAAGAGAAAACAAGGTATTATCTTTGGATAAATTGTGTTACAAGATTGTGATTCACAGATATTAAAAAATGGGTAGCATTTGCTCTCCACCACAGACGTGACCCAGCCAATACAAGTTTGTGACCAAGACAAGTTTGTGAGTTTTCATTTCACATTCTGCATGAATTTGTAAGTATACTTCTGGAAATCATGCATAAAGTGAGCCACTCGATATACTTATTTCATTTTCCCTACTAGCACAAGGCATAAGAAATTTCAAATGAATATCCATTATTATTATTATTATTATTATTATTATTATTATTTGAGGTGGAGACTCTCTCTGTTGCCCAGGCTGGAGTGCAGTGGCATAACCTCAGCTCACTGCAACCTCCGCCTTCTGGGATCAAATGATTCTCCTGCCTCAGCCTCCCAAGTAGCTGGGATTACAGGCAGGCGCCACGACACCCAGGTAATTTTTGTAGTTTTAGTAGAGACGGGGTTTCACCATGTTGGCCAGGCTGATCTCAAACTCCTGACC